GAAGAAAAGGCAGCTTTCATCAGTTACCTGCCCTGCATTGTATTAATATTCTTCATAATTGAGCCATTTCTTCTTAGTCTGGGGGAGGACAACTTAGTTCAAGAGATAACATAATTATATGTGCTTGCTTTTAAGGAGTAGTTTCATGATTTTAAAGTTAAGGAGTGCTGGAATTGGACACCAATTTGAAATCAGTAAATTACATGATTATTTTTTCCTTTTAAATGAAGGTGAAGTGAGAGGAAGAAATGACAGCATTTGCTGCCTCTAGCTTTTATGCTAACTGTCACGTTAGCTAAATGATTGTGAGGAGGAAAGGGGTTTGAAAAAGTATAAAACACAGAGTTAAATGCTTTATCTCTTAGGGAAATGGGATGTTTAAAAATTCTTCAGGAGATGGTGAATTCTGATTCCCATGAGGCCAGTTTTTGTAACTGTCTTAGAACAAAAAATACTGTGATTTATAGTGTAATGCAAATGATTTAAAGAACCCTTATTTACCACATTCCAGTTTTCAGGCCATATTGTTAAAAGAGCAGTAATTTCGTTTTGACTTAAAAACTACTTATTGCTGTAGGGTCTAGAAATGTCTCCTAGTTCATCAGTTTCCAGGGAAATAAATTAAACTTTATGATATGTGATTTCATCTTCATTTCTGAAAGATACTTTACTTTTAATAAAATAAGAGAGGAGTAATAACTCTAAAAATCCAGTTTCAAAAATATCATTAACTCTAGGATGAACCTGGAATTTCTGCATTTACAGAAGTAACTGCCACAAAACAATAAAGTAGGTGTAGTCAAAGTCTACAGCCTACAATATGGATTACATCTGAATGTGAAGAAAATGAAAATCCTCACTACTGGACCAGTAAACAACATCATGATAAATGGAGAGGAAAATGAAGTTGCCAATGATTTTAGTCTCCTTAGATCAATAATCACCATCTCTGGAAGCATCAGTGTAGTAAAGTATTGGGGGTAGCAGTCACATCAGCAGAATATGTCTACCATCAAAGGGGATGATGCAAATCAAGGTCAGCCCAAAGTTGATGCCTGTGAGGTGGAGGTCAGACATACCTTCACTCCCCAACCCTTCTCACCAATTGGCACCAACCATTCCTCCCACGGCACTCTCTCCTTTTTCTAGTGGATTTGATAATCCAGTGCAATGGTCATACAGAACTCATAGATCATACTTAACAACTAAGTGGTGTTTTGAAGAAGCAACAGGGTACAACTCAGGAGCAGGGTCAGGAAGCATGCAGATCAACTTCCTTCTTCAGTGTAGGACAACTCTTAAGGCTGTGCACTTCTTCTGTCTCCATCTTCCCATCTCCCTCTTCCTCTCCTTTGCTTCCTGCCTCCCTCTTCCTCTTCCTTCTTCACATATCATATTCTCTCACCCTCTCGAGCGCTCTCTCCCCATTTTTCCTCTCTCTCTCTCTCTCTCTCTCTCTCTCTCTCTCTCTCTCTCTCTCTCTCTCTCTCTCTCTCTCTCTCTCTCTCTTCCTCCCTCCCTTCCTCTACCCATCTCCTGTCTCCCTGTCTCTGTCTCCTGTGCTCTCTTTCTCAGGAGACCTTGCTGTCTGTTGCTGCCAGCTCTGCTGCTTGGTCCCTTCTGGGCCTTGCATCCTAGGAGGTACCTTGCCTACTGTCTCTTTTAAGTCTTCCTTCTGTCTGCTTCTTCATGTTGCTTCTACTCCTGATTCTATCTCTCTGCTAACCTCTGTGGAGTGGACTGCTGATCTTCAACTCCTTGTCCCTTTCAAAGTATGGCCCTCCCACCAGGGCCACAGATTGACCAATCACCTCTCAGAGATTTCATAGTAGGCTAGAGAAACTTGGAGTCCTGATGTGATGCTGTAGGATAAGCACTGGACCACAAGGTTGGTTAGAACTGCAAGGTCAGTGGTTCTAACCCACCAGCTGCTTCTCAGAAACCCCTTACAGGAAACAACTCAACAGCACTTAGCAACAACATAGACCAATCCCTGTGAAGTACACACCAATCACAGGGCAGGCTGCAGCCCCAGGACCAGGCAAAGTATCAAACCACAAGTTGGTTATAGGTTACCTAGGAAATGTCAGTCAACCTGGAAAAAAGTAAGCCCTCAGGGGTGGAAAATGCAAGGTTTAAGGGGAAATCACTCACACTTGTTTTCCAAATAACCAAAACAAAAGATGACATAAAGAAACTCATTTTATACAAGCAGGCAAGAAATCAAAGGATGTATTGCAGATTCGGGAACATCTGCTGCCTGCTGCAAAAAAAAAAAAACTCTTTAAAGTTTTAAAAAGCAAAGATGTAATGTCAATTGGTGCTAGAGGTGGCCTAACCCAAGCCAGGGTTTTTCAGTAGCTTCACATGCAAGCAAAAAATGGTCAATGAAAAAGGAAGACTGAGGAAGAATTGATGTATTTGAATGGTGGTGTTGACAAAGAATACTAAATATGCCATGGCCTTAGGCCGGGCACTTTAGAGAAGCAAAACCAGTAATGCTTATATATGTACACGAAGAGGTTTCTATCAAGGAAATAAGGAGCTCTGGTAGCATAGTGGTTACGAATCGGGCTGCTAACCACAAGGTCAGCAGTTCGAAACTACCAGCTGTTCTGTGGGAGAAAGATGAGGCGTTCTGCTCCCGTAAAGTTTTTCAGCCTCGGAAACCCTGTACAGGGTCGTTATGAGTCGGAACTGACTCCACGGCACACAGGCAGTAGTGTAGTGTATTATGACCCACACAATTGTAGACGTGGTTAGTCCCAAGTTCATGATGGAGGCTTCTAGCTCACATTGCTGAAGTGCTGATAAACCAAGATCAGCAGGTCAGATGGGAGGGAGGCTGTCATCTTTACAAGAGCAGATTGACATTTATCCATGGACAAAGTTTAGAAGGGTTGGGAAAGAAGGAGGAATGGAAACAGGGAGGAAGTGGGATAAGTGTTGTTACATGGAGGGGACTGCAATTATTGAGATCAACAAAGTGTTGAATATAAAACTGACGATCTGCTCTGTAAACCTTTAGTCAAATCACAATAAAAATTTTAATGGAAAAAACAACAACAACAACCCTGTAGGGTACAGTTCGACTCTGAAACACATGGGGGTCAATATGAATCAGAACCAACCCAACCAACAGTAACAGCATATTCATATGTTATACATATGTGTATATAAACAGAAATAATCTGCTTCTGGGTTTCACTGCAAAAGCAGAAGGAAATGGTGACTGAACAATTTGTTTGAAAGCTGGGCAGGTTTGGGGCTAATTTCTTATTTCTGCTTTTGCTGGTGCCCATTGTTCCTCGCCCTAGAAATCACCACTCCCCCACTAAGGAGCTCTGGGGACATAGTAGTTACGAATTGGGCTGCTAACCTCAAGGTCATCAGTTCCAAACGAGCCGTCATTCTGCAGAGAAAGATGAGGCTTTCTGCTCCCATAAAGATTTATAGCCTCAGAAACCCTATGCATTGGAACCAACTCCACAGCATACAGCCACCGCCGCCACCCACCCCACGGCACACATGTCCACGTATACATGCAGGCACACATGCCCATGTCTCATTTTCTGCTTAACTCCTCTTTAGCTTATAGGTCTTGGCTTATCCTCTTTGAACCCCAATACCAAGGTAAGTTCCCCTCTTAGGAGCTCCCATAAGACTGTGAATCTTCTCCAACATAGCACATACCCTACAATCTACCTCACTGGACTAGAATTCCATGAGGGAGGCACCACATCTGTCCTTTCCACCATTCTAGCTCCATTCCCTGGAACAGAACTCATTAAACATTTGTAAAAGGAATGAATTCTGATGAACCTATAGAAGGCTCTCCTTTGTAGAAACTTTTGCTTATCTTTTGGAATGAAGTCTGTTGAATATAGTTGTTCAGACTGTATACTATTCAAAGACATATAGCAGAGGTTGAAATACAGCCCAGGCTGTTGCCACCAAACCATTTTTGATGGCTGAACCCACTCATAGGAAGAAATGTCTTTTCCTTGTTTGCACAATGGCAGCATATGAATTTGCACAAGTCCAGTTCTAAACAACACATTGTTGCTGTAAGTGCCATTGAGTTGATTGTGACTCATAGTGACCCTGTATAGGATTTCCGAAGAGTGTCTTCAAAAATTCAGACCCGTGAGACCAGCTTTTAGCTAAATAGCAGAATGGCACGTAAAGGATTTATTACCCATAAGTACAATACTCAGGAGTCCTGGTGTGCAGCTGCGGGTTAATGCCCTTGACTGCAAAGTCTGTTTGAACCACAAGGTCAGCCACTCCTCCTAAGAGTCAGAACCGACTCGATGGCGCTTAACAGCAACAAAAGTACTTTACTAAAAACCAGCCATAAGATACAAAAAAAGCTCAACATTTACACTAAAGCAAAGATGAGAAGATAAAGGAACAGGGAAACTAGAGCACAGGAAATGAAATAACCAGAATGCAATGAAAGAGAATGTTGACACAGTGTGATAAATGTAATTAATGCCACTGAATAATTTATGTGGAAATGGTCAAATTCAAACCTAACTTGTAGTGGAAACTTTCACCAAAACCACAATAAAAAAAAAACAAAACTTTTTTTTAAGTGAGAATTTCCCTATCTCATTCCTTGAAAGGCTGAGACTAAATGAGTTCATGAAGTGATTTCCTTTTTCTCTAAATTCCCACTCCCCTTTCTTCCCAACCTTCAATGGCTATACCTCTTGTGAATATTTCCTAAAAGTGAATTCAGACACTATTTTTCCTCTGGTGTCTGGCTTATTTCACACAGCACAATGTTTTCAAGGTTCATCGGTGCTTCATTTCTCTTTATACCTAAAAAGCACTCCACTGTATGTATATGCCACGTTGTGTTTATGAATTCATCTGTGGAGGGGTTCAGGTTGTTTCCTCCTTTGAAACAGTCTCTCTAGGTACTCAGGACCTTGAACCCACTCCTGGAAAGGACCTCCCTCACTCCTCTTTCCTCTGATTTTTGTCTCCTGCAGGGTTTGGGATGACGACCCCACTGACAGTAGGAGGAAAAATCTTTTTGATCTTTTATGGCCTCATTGGGTGTGCAAGCACCATCTTGTTCTTCAACCTTTTCCTGGAACGTCTGATCACTGTCATCGCGTACATTATGAAATCATGCCACCAGCGGCAGCTCCGTCGACAAGGTACCTCGACCCAGGACAGCCTACAGGACCCGAGGAAGCCCGAGGCGGAGGGCTTGGCTGGCTGGAAGCCCTCTGTGTACTATGTCATGCTGATTCTGTGCATGGCCTCCCTCCTCATCTCCTGCTGTGCGTCGGCCATGTACACCCTCATGGAAGGGTGGAGCTACTTCGACTCACTCTACTTCTGTTTTGTGGCTTTCAGCACCATTGGTTTTGGGGACCTGGTCAGCAGCCAGAATGCCCTGTACAATAGTCAAAGCCTCTACCGCTTTGCCAACTTTGTCTTCATCCTTATGGGCGTCTGTTGCATCTACTCCTTGTTCAATGTCATCTCCATCCTCATCAAACAGTCTGTCAACTGGATCCTGAGGAAAATGGATGGTGGGTGCTGCCAACCATGCCAAAGAAGACTCTTCCGGTCAAGGAGGAATGTGGTCATGCCGGGCAGTGTCCGGAACCAGTGCAACATCTCCATAGAAACAGATGGGGTGATGGAGAGCGACACAGATGGGCGGCGTCTCTCAGGGGAGATGATCTCTATGAAGGACTTCTTAGCTGCCAACAAGGTCTCCTTGGCCATCCTCCAGAAGCAGCTGTTTGAAACGGCCAATGGCTGCCCCCACCAGACCAGCACGCTATCCCAGGACAACGAATTCTCAGGGGGCATAGGAGCCTTGGCAATAATGAACAACAGGTTGGCAGAGACAAGTGGGGACAGGTAGAAGCATGGAATGGACACTGGGCATGGAGGCCTGGGCAGTACGTGGAGGATGAGGGTTGTGTCATCCAAAGCACTAGCTCAGCATGGTCTTGGCTTGGTTCATTTTGGAAGCTGCTCTTCCTAGCCCGTTACAGCCTGACTTGTTCCCTGGGTGGTGCTAACAGTTCGGCACAAGGCTATTAACAAAGAGGTTGATGATTCAGATCCATCCCAAAGGACCTCAGAAGAAAGACCTGGTGATATGCTTCCGTAAATGTTCAGAGCCATGAAAACCCAAGAGAGTGCAGTTTTTCTCTGAAACGCACGGGGGCCGCATGAGTCAGAATTTTCTGCACCGCAACTGGTTCGCTTTTAATCTAAGACCTAAACTAGAAATTGGATCTTCTTGACTCCGACAAACAGCCACTTCCCGGGGCTCTGGTGAACATGAAACCTCAGTGCCTCTCTCCTTATTCTTTAAATCTGTCTTTAAAAACGGAATCACAAAAGGTAGCATAAGAGATTGCATTATATTTTAATTCATTTTGCGGCTCCTGGGTTAACTGCCTAAGGGAGAGGGAGTTGACTTAATCCTCCATTTCTGACAAATCTGTTCTGATGGAAACAAAAAAATCCTGAAGATCCTAGTTTCCCCCTGGGGCTTGGAATTAACTGAATTCCCTACCTCATTCTTCAGAAAAGAGGAGGGAATTTTATAAGCACGTATCTGAGCTTCCTTCCCTTTTGACGAACCTCCTTCAGAGCAGACAGTGGTAGGGCCATGTATAGAGAAGACATCTATTCTGCATTTTACCCTGTCTGCCCTGGGGGGGTTTCTTTCTTTTTATTTTTAAGATCTTAATGTTTAGTTAAGGTATTATACTCTCTTTACCTTGTGTCTCTCTGGAACTACAGTGGGGTAAAAAAAGCAAACCTCTGTTCCCACCAGGTGGTTGGGACTCATTTTTGTAACTGAAGGACATCGCTTACTAACCTTGTCTCTTTTAATGAGCACACAAACCGTTTCATTATTACCAGGGCTTGGGGCCCCATTGCAAAAATAACAGCTGAGTATTTATTAGAACTGAAAATTTAATAAATCCTCACTTTATTAACTAAGATTACATGAGTGTTCATTATGTTTAATTAGGTGGTGGGAGTGGGGGGTATACCTAATTAAACCAGCATTTATTGTGCTCAGAAAAAAAGGAAATGGGGAATTAGCCTAAAGGCCATATGAACATCATCCTGTGTCTTGGCTGAAAACACATCCTAGGCAAGATAATGAAATTCGACTTCTCTTGTCTAATCCATTTCAGTTCTGCCATCTGGAACTGTAACAAGTTGGGTTACGTCACCTCCCAAGCAATCCCTCCATGCACATAGGGACAAGAGCTGTTAGTCTTCTTCATGTGTTTGAATTCATCAAGGGCATTATGTGGAAGAGAACAGAGATGGAGCGAAATCACGGTTGGTTGTTTTAATAAAGTAAGAGTGCTATGTACTCAGCAGCCTCAGAAAGGATGAGGAAATACACACAGTGAAGACTATAAAGCAGAAAACTTGCACCAACTGAGACGAAAATGTTGAGCTGAGAACCTCAGAGCTAGAGGATCCTTAGGAGCCATCTCATCAACCCTGGAGGGCTTTTTAAAATGGAAGTGAAACTCACATAATAGACAATTACCCACTTTAAAGTGGCTTGGTGCATTTGCAATGTTGTGCAACTACCACCTCTCTGCTTCCAAAAGTTTTTATCACTTCAGGGGAGGAGAGTTCACTTCTCTTTGCCTGACCTTTAGGGCTGGGAAGAAGCGAGCTGGGAAAAGAGCTCACGTCGCCTGAAAGTGACGTCATCACGCGTCACTCATAATCCTTAGAACCCTGGCCTAAAGAGCAAAACTGCCCTTACTCCTGGCAAGCAAACACAAACATTTTCTTTGCAATTTACCCTGGTGCTGTAGGATAAGCACTGGAACTAAGGTCAGTTTGTACTGCAAGATCGGTGGTTCAAGCTCACCAGTCACCCCTCAGAAACCCTATATAGGGTCGCTATGAGTCGGAACTGACCTGATGGCCTTTAATAACAGCAAAAGTTGCTGTTGGTCATCGTCTTTCTCCTCCTTCATCATTTCCAGCATCGTTACCATCATTTATTGGATACATACTCTATGCCAGGTACAATGTTAAGCACTCGGCCAAAATATGAGGGGGCTTCAAAAAGTTTGTGGGAAAATGGAATTAAGAAATAATGGGCAAGAAAAGTCCAAAGAAAGGCTTGTTCTCTCTAGTTAAAGACCAGGAAGAGGCAACCTGGGGGAGGTGGGGAACCCTTTATCTCATGTCCTCCCAACTATTAAAAGGTAGGTTTTATTCTCCCCACTTTATGAAGAAACTAAGGCCTGGAGAACACCTTGCCTGAGGTCATTCTGATGTTGAGCTTTTTTCAAGTGACTTCCTCAAAATAACACTAGGGGCAATAGATACCCTAAAGAGTCCTATGTCTATAAAACAGGCTGTATTCATAATGTTGTTGTTGTTGTTAAGTGCTGTCGAGTTGGTTCCAACCCATAGTAACCCTGAACAGGGTTTCCAAGACCATAAATCTTTACGGGAGCAGAAAGCCTTATCTTTCTCCCAGAGAGCGGCTGGTAGTTTCAAACTGCTGACCTTAAGGTTTGCAGCCCAATTCGTAACCACTACACTACCAGAGCTCCTTATTCATAATGTAAGTCCCTCCAAAAAGGAAGGCTCAAGGCCCAGATAGTTTCACTGGTGAATTCTCCTAAACATTTAAAGAAGAAGTAACATAGATTCTACACAATCACTTCCAGAAAAATAGGAGAGGAAGGAGCATTCCCTAACTTATTCCTTGAGGTCAGTATTATCCCAAAAACAAAAACAAAGATATCACAAGAAAAGAAAAAGACCGATATCCTTCCTGAATCTTGATATATAAAATCCTCAACAAAATATTAGCAAATAGAATCTAACTAAAAAATGGAAAGGATAACCCAGTTGACCCTTGAATAACATGGGGTTAGAGGTCAAAACTCCATGTACAACTGTGACTCCCAAAAAACTTAACGGTTAATTAGACTACTGTTGATAACAAGGTGATGTCAGTAGAGGCCTAGTGAAGAGAAAGAAACGTCTTTTCTATGTTATATGTGTTACATAATTGCATTCACATACAAACTGTATTGTCGGTGGTGGTGGTGGTGGTAGTGGTGGGTGGTGGGTGGTGGTTGGTGGTTGGTGGTGTACCATGGAGTCAGTTCCATCTCATGCGACCCTGCATAGGGTTTCTGAGGCTGTAAATCTTTATAGGAGCAGAAAGCCTCATCTTTCTTCGATGAAACAGCTGGCAGTTTTGAACCACTGACCTTGACTTGCTACCAGAGCTCCTTATGAGATAAAAAAAAAGTGTATCATAAGAAGTGCAAGATTTTCATGCCTGCTGGTATAGCTGCAACAATGGCTTCAGGAATTTTTTCTTTTTTTTTTTTTTAACACTGGCTTTTATGCTGAATTCATTTATCTTGAAATGGTGGGCAACTGCAGACCTCAATAAGCAATTCAACTTTTTCTTATAATGTCATGACTTTGCTTCTTGGGAGCACTTCCAGCATCACTGGTGGTACTTTGTCTGGGTCCTCTGGTGTTCTTCAGGGTTTACGGGATTGCAGCACACTGAACACTATGGAAGATCTAGGAGATCACTTTTTACTGCATTACGAAATTTACTAGAAAGATGAATGACTTACATGGAGATGATTAGCTTCGTTCAGCATCTTTTGTTTTAACCTGTGTATCAGAGTATCCAACCAGTTCAAATCTCTGCTGTTCACTACACATGGTGACCAAGTGGTATTTATACCAGGAATGCAAGGTTGAGTTAAAATTTGACAATCAATCAATGTAATTGATCATATTAAAAATACTAAGACAAAAATTCTAAAATAATTTCAATAGGTAGGAAAGATTAATAAATTCTAACATCTGTTGTCAAGTTAAAAAAAAAAAAAAATTGGTATAGAAGAAAATAAAGGAGTATTTACCAAAAACCTAGAGTTAAAAATCACACTTGATCATGAAAGATGAATTTTTTTCACCTAGAATCAGAAACAAGGCAAGGCTATCCTTTCTCACCACTCGTAGACAAGACCTGGTGGTGGGGGTTGTGTGTCGTGGAGTCCATTCTGACTCATAGTGACCCTGCATAGGGTTTCCAAGGCTGTAAATCTTTAGGGGAGCAGAAAGCCTCATCTTTCTCCTGCAGAACAGCTGGTAGTTTCAAACTGCTGATCTTGATGTTAACAAGCCCGATTCATAACCACTGTGCTACCAGAGCTGCTATTCAAGACTTGCCTCGTATAATAAGTCAGTATAATGACGAAGCATTCAGGTCAGAACAGAAGAAATCTACATGTCTCTTTTCACAAACAGCATGATTTCTCTGTGTAGAAAATTCTCCACCCCAAAAAATAAGACAGGGCTTCAAAGATTTGTGGGAAAAATAGAATTAAAGGGTATGGATTTAAAAAGTCCAAAGAAAAGTTTGTTCTCTCTAGCTGAATACCAGGAAGGGGAAACCTGGCAAGACAAAAACCTTTAAGAGAACAAGCACCTTAATCCAGAAAAGACTGCAAACCCATAAACAAAAGTGAGGACTCCAAAGTTCCAGCCTCACAAAGTTGTCATGAAGTGTCATCACACTCTACCCCTGCTGAGATATATCAGGGAAGATCAAGTGGTGGGCTGGGATTCTCATCTTCTCCCCCTCCTGACCCTTGATATTAGAGGAGTCCAGATGGGGATCCTAGATTTATATTCCCATTCCATGTCGTGTTGTCAGAAGTCATGTGTGCAGTAAAAAGGTGTCAGTGAGGAAACTTAAATCCAATCTCCACCTAGCACTAAAAGGTACTTCTATTCCCCACACCCAGGGTGTCAAAGGAAGCCAGAGGGGGGCGGGGCATGAGACTTTCATTCCCACTTGGCAGTAGTGAGGTAGTTTCT